TATGCAAAACGACAATTTCTCAGCCGTGATATCTGGATTGCCTTCCCAAGGCGATTCACGCCACACGATGTCGATCCTTTCTTCGAGAAACTTGCCAATCTCTTGTTGTACTTTGTTCCTTGAGAATACTTTTCTGATTGTTAATGAACCCTCTTCTTCCAAAAGAAAAATACTTTTTTTTTACTTAGAATTACTAACTTTCTATTTCATCACCAAAAGATGCAAAATAATTCTAAAAAAAAAGTGTTTACCAAGATAAAAATAAATTTCGTAATGAATTTCGATGTCTAAGAAGGTCTTGAGCAATGAAATAGTTTCCTAAAAATGTGTAATTGTAGACTTTATCTATAAAACTCGTCTATTCAGCGTAAAATGACTAAAAGCCGGCGCTTACGTGCGCGTAATGTTAACCTGGTGGCATGCTACTTATGCTAATTTACATTGGTGGTCTCTCACCGTTTCAAGAGAATCAGGTGAATAATAAAGCAGCCACGTTGCGGCACAACCTCGTTAGAAGACAAACGGTCAACCTACACATTGAAATAGTAGTATACAGAGAGAGAACAAGAAGATGATTAGATGACTTGTTGGCAGAGAGCGCGTGAAACTGGCGCGGGTGAAACAGATATGGTAAGAACGGGGAAATTGCGTGAAACTTTGCAGCAATTCCAAGACATTTGAGCACAACGTGTTGTATGTACACCTTTTAATGCAGAAGGAGAGCAAATGAATGGACTCACGTCCGTTTTAACTTGCGTCTAGGTGCGTTTGATACGTCTCCATCTCATTCGTTCTCCTTTCGCTGCCAATTTATGTAAATTGTGGATTTGTTGTTGCCGATAGAGAATGTGATTAATGATTGAACTACTTTGCATTTTCGATACCATATTTGGTATTGTGGTCCTTAGTTTAATATTTGAAATTCTCTTATTTATTTCATCATTGAATAATACTGATTTTTACTATTTATTTTTGCATTGCGTTACTTTAAAATAACTTGAGTGGTAATGAAATATAGCCATATTCTGGTCTGATTAAGTTTTCTTACAATACATTATGATTTCATTCAAATATTTTTATAATAATTCAAGACTATCTTATTACTACCCTCCAACTACTTCATTGCTACCTCAAAACTACCCTAGTAAAAAAATAAATATTGAATCTTATTAAATTCATATATGGTCAATGTAAGATATGATTTAATTTTCATACTTATAAATTGTTTATAAGAACCAGTATTTATTTTTTTACTAGGACCATTACATAACCAATCACTAAATAGTCTTGATCGTATTGTCTCTTCCAAGCTTGAATTTACTTTCCCATAAGTGCCTTATCAATCTTGAAAAAAAGGTGGGCCATATTAAAACGTTGGAATAAAATTGGATTTAAATAGCTAACCGGAAAAAAATTATTTATAATCATAAAATATTATGCTAAATAATTATAAAAAATTATAAATCATTTCTAAGAAAACTATTTTCTTCTTTTATTATGTATAAATTTTCCCTTATATTGAATTTGTAGAAAAAAATTTCTATAAATCAATAATGTATGCACAAAAAATAAAATGAATATTAAATGTTGAAGGAAAATTAAAAAATGCATTTGAAAAATAAAACAGACTGTCAAAATACTTTTAACTTTTCATTTTTATCTTTTACCATTGAAATTCTATTAGCAAATCTTGTTGACTATGCTTATCAAGTGTCTTTCTAGTCGATCTCTAAAGATAACTTTAAACATTTTTTTTTTTTTTTTTGAAAAATCACTAAAAGCTTTTTACAATTAATGTAATCTTTTTATACATACTTTCACGGTTGATGTTCAATCAGTTGACTACAACAGTTCTTTCCCAGCAGATATTCCATATCAGCTAACGTCAAGGTTGCAAAATACCCCAGGTGGATAATGAACGTTGCATCAATAAAGGATAAAAATGAATACATGAAATGATAGGTGATCTTTTCAATACAGCTGTTTCAAGTTATTCATATCTGAACTGTAGAACCTTCTACAAGTCCAAGAACATGACGAGTCGATTTCCATTGCAAGACACCCTAATGAATCCTTTCGATAACACTCTTGGATAAGTACCAAAGTGCATTTATTAATTCACATGACTATAAACTAGTCCATATTTGTATAAAATAATTACATTGCACTTATGGTACCATCATGATCGAGTGATATTTAATGAGTTTCGAGGATAAAAGTGAAATTTGCTTTTCATCGTTTAATATCAAGAAATCATTGAAGTTTACTCGTTTTCTTCTCTAATTTCGTTCATATCTGGAAATAAACCATTAGTTTTTTCCTCTTCTAATCTATAAATTTTTTCAATTTTATTTTCCTTATAAAATATTAATTATTTATAGCAATTATTTTATCATTAACGAATAAATTAATTTTATCGTTTGTAAATATTTATTAGAGAATAAAATATCACTATTAATTAACTACGCAACCATTCTTTTAGTTTCGAATAAAGATAGAGAATGTCTGGTGCTGAACCTAAGGCTGGAATTTATTCTTTTAGGATTTTTTAAAAGTCGCATATAAAATTTGAAGACGCGCACAAAGGGCGGAGCGTAAATAAATTGTGAATTTTATGTCATGTCTGAGGTTCCGTGACCAATTCGGTGATGGTGCAACATGGAACAAAGTTTTGCCTTGTGAATGTACTTCTCTTCGGCGCTTGTATGAAGACGACGATGGTGCAACCAGGTGGCCAAGATCACGCCTGAGTATCGACCTACGTGATTGTGCTCAATATTCTCCAAGTGAAACTGACTTGATATGAAATGTCTTTATGTGTTCAACGATGTAATAACATATATTTAACTAATCATTTGTCCTTCCTCGGAAGACACTAGATGTTTTATTTAAATTCTAAAAAATTTTGTCACGCTTGGCCTCTAAAGATTGCTACTTTTGGCCATGATACCTTTGGGATATCAGAGAAAAATATCTTCAAGATTCACGGATGCATGAAGTGAGTAAAGAAAAGATTTTATGTCGAAAATCTTGATTATTGTCACGCATGAAGTTTGATATAATGATGCAGTGAAAGAGAGTCAGGAAATTATTTTTTCGCGTATGTTTTATTTCCAATAGAAAAGATATAACTTGATTGACTTAATAAAGTAATCAGCACTTATTAATTGTAATTTATCCAAAGTAAAACTGTTTAAACAAAACGAAGAAGAAACAAACAATGAAAAATTTGATCAAAAATCAAAAGCAATTTAAAAAGATAAACTTGATTTATTGTTTACTTTATTCTATGGCATGTGTTACTAATTCTTTCTAGTTCAAAAATTAGATGAATAGAATTTAAAAAAATTTATCTCTACATGTTGCTGGCGGCAGCTATTATTTTGATCACCAAGGGAGAGAATAGCCGGTGTTTTCCCCCTCAGTTATCCTCTGTAGTCCAAACCACGCTTTAATTCCCCATCTCCTTTTAGACTAAACATCCCCATGGAAAATCCACCCACACTTTTGCCCACCGATTCGATTTCATATGAAAAGAACACGCATATACATATGGAGCTGTATCACATACATAATACGACTCGTTCTCTTTGAAACAGCTGTCGAGCAATCTCCCCTTTATCGGTTTCCCTTTCGAACTCTCACCCTCTTTTTCACTCTTCTTTTCTCTCGTCTTTCTTACGGATCATCAGCGTGCCTTTTCACTATCGTCTTCGTTACATTTCAACCGCGGCCAAAATTTCTCTTATTCTTTTATCCTCAAAAAGCCACGAGCCGTTATTATGACAGCTGTACTCTTTCGCGATTGCACGTCTGCTATTTTTTGACGAACGAATGTTTAAATATTTACAAAACATTCAGCTAAGGTCAAGTCTATGTTTTCTCTTTATCATTTATTTTAATCAAGTAATTCAGAGAATCGTTCATTTATTATTTTTATCAACATCTTTATTCGTCTTTAATTAATTGATCAATGTTGAATAAATAAAGTGTAGTAATAATGTGATAGTGAAATATCTATCAGTGAGAATTGACTTTTAATAAATACTGTAAACTCACCTTCACGGTCTTAATATAATGAAATTACGGTCTATTAAAATTTCTCTATTGGTTGTAAGTTAACGCAATCTTCACAGCATCTCTAAATATTTCTGCATATGGTTAAGTTAATTAGCAATTAAGAAAAAAGACTGCTCTGCATGATTAAATTTGCAGTTATGTTGCACGAAATCACGGATATTTCTAATGGCAAAAATGTATTTTTCGAAACTTGAGCCGATAGAGAACATTTCGAATAATATTTTAGGATAAAGTATGAAGAAACAGTTCGTTTAGAACAGCGTTTACGGTTAAAACTGTATAAGGTCATTTTTAATCATTGAAAATGTATTAATTAGTTACAAATTCAAAGTATGAGTAAAGATAAATGTTGATAAGCGATGTTAGATAATTTTTCATCAATTAATTCAAATCGAATTCCGTTAGATAATCATTAATTAAGTAGTTATTGATTGCAGTGTTTATTAAATTAATTTAAAATTCTCAAGGCCGTCTATGGTAGGTCATAATGTATTAAATTACTTAATTAACTCATTAAACTTAATATTAATAGAAATGCAGATGAAATAATTTTTTGGAGCCCTCATATGTTGAGAAATGAAGTTTTAATTGATGTAATTGAGAAAGTTTTTAGAAAAAAAAAACCTTCAAATAAAAGGTATTTTACGAGAGTTTAGACATTTGTATAAATGTAAGTTTTATTTTAATCAGCAACAAATCATCGAAACGTATGAAAGAATAAGGAATGATTGCTTCAACCGGCAAAACGTGGACCAACAACCCGTTGCCTCATGTGTGCGTGTATTCCCTACTGTCTATTCAACTTCTTCCCCACTAGCACCGCGACGGTTTCCCCACCACTTATGTTGTGCAGAATCAGGAAGAGAGGGAAACTCAACCTCAAAGCCAGCTTGCCTCCAACTCCGCAGATCTACCGGCTCGGCTGGAACCGCGGCCACTTCAGTTTGAGTCTGACTATCGGAGCGTACACATCTGTCATTTGCTTACGCGTGGAGGACATTTTTGTTGGTTTATTTATTTGAATAAACTCCGAAATTATTCTGCTGTCAGAGACGGACATTTTTCTGACATTTTTGGATAATAAAAAGCTTTGTTCTGTGGGTACCATCTAGACAATTGGAAAATGGAGCAGTGATTTTTGGAGTGATGTATTGTGTGGAAAATTTTGAAAAGAAGGAAAGCTGTGGTTTGCTTTGTATAGCTTTTGGTACAATTTGACATTGTAAAGATTTTTTTGATAAATTTATTAGACGACTTTTATTGTGAATTGCCTGTGGAGAATTTCAGAAACTTGTTTGGTAGGTTATTTTGAAGAGGGAGAAAAGGAGCACCCGAGGAGACTTGGGTGTAGAGCAGAAGAATTTGAGAAGAAGAAAGAGAGAAAAACAAACCCTCTTTTTCTTTGTTCACTAAAGGGACGAAAAGGAACTTTCAGGCTTTCGTTCTCAGTTTAACTAAGAGTTTTATATCAAAACGATCTATTTCAAAGTTTACTTTTTAACTTACCTATTGATGACACAAAGAGATTTTTTGGCTTAAACGATATTTGAGTTTTTTAGAGTTTATATTCGAAAATAATCAAGTGCGAGTGTTTATGATACAATGATATTTAGTTGGGTGTAAATTAAAAATGTAAACACCTTTGGTTTTAAGAGTTGTTTTATCTTCTATTCCTTTGCCATTTGAAGGACTGTGTTGGAAGTAATTTACATTCAGGAGCTTGGATATTCACTCCTCTCTTTGGTAAGTCTACAAAAATCACTCTATTTATTTTGTCCTTTTTTACAAAATTTGCATTAGAGTTACTACTCCAAGAATAATAAATCTCAAGAAACATCAGCTTGAAATGAAGATAAAAATGAGATAATACTTCACTTGTCTTTTTCTTTGAAAAAAAAATCATCCAGAGATGAGAATAATTCGCGGAAATCAAATACCTGGGATAGACGACATAGAATTTTTCTGATGAACTGAAACATTTTTTTTGTTTACGTTCGAACAAAATAATTCTCAAAAATGAATAAATGACTATCAACATTTATTGCAAAGTAGTATTTATTTTTATTTTCAAATAATTTTTTTCTAAATTAAAAATTATTGCTCATCAAATATACAGGCACAAATGATTGCTTAATAAAAAACAAATATTTTTCCTGTTAACATTTCATAAACGCACAAGTGATAAAAATAAAATAATACATCCGATGATTTAAACTCAATAAAGATATTATTACCAATCTGTTCTATCATAATTTGCTATTTATTTAAATTTCTTACCGGGGATGTAACATGATGCAAATTTTACTATTCACCTTATCAGTTACTTAGTGCATGAATTACTACAAACATGAAGCTTACTTCATCACCGTTACGATCCTTCATAAATGTAAGGCCGATCGTTCACGATCAAATGAATCTTTGAGCCGTGACGGAAGTCGTCCTTGTAGAATCGTTCGCAATGCAAAGTCCATGTCTGTAGTCTGTACGAATAATACAGAGTTCCTTTTCAATTATTCTCTCGTTGCATCAGTAATCTCCAGGGGGCAAGGCTAGAAATTCTCGTAAAGCTGAGGTCATATCTTTTCAATTAATTCGCTGTTTGGATAGGTAATCGTGTAATAAGCTGTCAGGTGTGTTTACTTCTTCAATCAGTCAGGTGAATGCAGAAGAGTGACTGGCGTCATTGAAAACTTTCTCGCTTCTGCTTTTATGACAAAATGTGCTCTTGAAACTTTCATCAATATTTTTTCCTAATAATTTATGATAACGAATGCATTTTATTTTAATTTTTCTAATGGAGAGATGGATCATATTTACCAACTTAGAATAACAGTAAATTATTTTATTTAAAGATTCTTTTAATTAAGGTTTTAAAAATAAATATTGAAAATATTTCTTTAATAATAATTATAAAAAAAAATGATTAATCATTGATTCTAATGCTTTTAATTATTCTTTTACACTTCATAATTTTATTATTTAATTTTAAATCGTTAGAATAATTTTTTTCTATTGCTAAAAAATTTTATTTGCTATAAACCATGTTCTTTTATTTTTAATGAGCATTATTAATGCGAAATAAAATTTGTCCAGTGCTCATTAACATTGCAAAAAGTAATTTAATGTAATTATTACTTAAACCGTTAAAGTAAAACATTATTAAGACTCTGGTGTTCGTATAAAAAAAGCAACATTTCACGAAGCACCAGAATATTAATAATTAATGCATAAAATTTCAAAATTATTGATAATAAACAAATTTCAACGTGAAATTGAGAATATAGTAGCAAAAAAAAAAATGTATAAAAGCTAAATTCAAGTGTATTATTTATAATTTACCGCTTGTATAATCACGTTGACGTGAATTAAGCAAAATTCGTGAGCAAGTTCATGTGGAGACAGGCTTCAAAAATGAGCCGTAAAAATTAAAGTGGACGGTCTACTCTTCTCGCAGGCGTTTCGTTTGAAGCTGCCGAGAAAGTCACTAGCATGAGGGCAAAAACGCGAGAACTCGAGCGTAAATCCAGGATGTAAATGCTCAGAGGGCACGAAAGTCACAGTCAAGGTGGTCATCCTTCCTTTTTAAATTTATTTTTTCCCCAATTTCATCGTTTATTTTTTACCTTCGACATTTTACTTACAAAACATTAACATAATAAAGTACCCTGTGCACTCAACAGAATAACTATTCCAAGAAGGATGAATTTTATTCAAGAACGACATAACAATTGTGAAGAAGAAGAAAATAAAAAGAAGAGTTCATTAAATATTCTTTTATAACAATGTTAAATAATAATCCTTGTGGCTATTATCCAATTTCTTTTTATTCTGTATGATTATTTACATTGAAAATTTCTACAACAAATTGGATTTTTCTGCACGTAAACACAATAAGTAATAAAGCTAGTAAGAAAGAAAGAGTTTCTCATATGATTTGAAATCGAACGAGGCTAATAGGGAAGAGGAACACTTGTGGTAATTTCACCTACGCTCAAGTAGTAGACGCACGGTAGAAAAAGGAAGAGATACGAGAGGAAGAGGAACGTGTGTCGCGCGCGAGCAAGTACGCGAATCCTTTAAGACATTAAACCGGTATGAAAGACATTATTGGCTCGATATGGTCAAGGCAGTCTTGAACAGCTAAAGAAACTTCAACGAACCGGTAACAAGAACAGGATTTAGTCACCGTCACCCACGACTCTTTCGATAGTCATTAGATATATTATTTTTCTGCCAAATTATGCCTGTCTCAATTATCTGTGCTCGTATTAATTAATTGAATGTTTGTAATTGGTTGGTCAGGAAATAAATTTCACGACAATCAATTACAATGATTTATTATTATCATTATTTTTATTATTTTGTAATTATCTTTATCATTAATACTCTTTTTTTATGAAATTTATATTGCGAGTGTTATAAATTTCGTGCGGTAGAATTGTTCATTTCTAAACTCATGACCCAAAGCCACAGAAAAGAAACACTTTCATTGTTAAGATGAGAAAATAGAAATTATGATATGTGCTCATAATTATGAGGCTTCCCACAATATTTACATGTTCAAATTGTGCATGTTTATGAATTAACGTTGATGAAGTTAATTGACAAACTGTGTATGTTCTAAAATTGATATGAAATTTTGTTTACATGTTAAAATAATTACATATTAGATAAAATAAGGCCGATGTATTTATGGCTGAATGCTATGTGATAATGATCTTATGTATTTACCAGTTTACCGCAATAAAATTTTCAAACAAGTCAATTTAGAAAGATAATACAATAGGTATATAATTAAAGAACACCAACATAAACGGAAGTTCGTTGTGCTATGGCTATAAAGAAGGTAGGAACGTTTTATAAGAAGTATGTACACAATAACACAATACTACTTGGCTTTAACGGAAGTTATACTAGTGTGAGTTCAATGCCCGAAATCTCGTAATTCGCAACGACATTATTGTAGACCACACATCACGAAAAAAAGCTCTTGAACTGGAGAAAATCATTTACATAAAGAAAAGGAAATTACATTGAATTTTAAATTTTAAGAATAAATATTTTTATTTACATTTTTTTACTATTAAATTCTCCATTGATTTATTTCAGTGATCCAAAGAACAGAAATTTGTTGTAAAAAACAATTTAAATGTCTTTGCAAGATTATGTTAAAACTTAGAAGAGTTGCTTTCGATGGAGATCAAGCTTTGAAATGAATGAAAGCAGACAAGAGCAGTGGTGATGGTTGCCAGAACAATTCTGGAAATTTGAAAGTTTCAATTAAAATAAACGGAAAAGATTAGAGTTTTAAATTATGCAAAGGAAAGAAAGAGAATTGGACCAAACTGCCAAGTTCTCCACGTGCTCACACATTGAGGTTTCACCGCGAGATGAATCACGTATTTCATTATATGTCGCTCGTTGATCTTGCGTTGATGTTGCAAAAGTGGAACAGTACTACCTATTTTCTCATCCTATTCTTTCACTGTATAACACACAAGGGCTTTTGATGCACGAAAGTGAGTTGATGGTATTTCATGCAAGAAATTTCAAAGATCAAAACATACGTGACCCCATCACAGACCAATATGTCGATTAGATTTTCATAATCACTAATCATATTTATTGCCTGCTCATTTAACTGCTTGTCAGTTTATCTAATTTCCTTTGAGCAATACAATTGGTCACTTTCGTTTATGTGGTTCAATGCTACTCGTTCTTTGTATGGAGCAATACCAACTATGTCCTCGTACAGTCTTAGATAGATAAATAGATCTTGATCTAAATCTAGAGCATTACAAAGCAAATATGATTCGATTAAATGCCACTATGTTTGTATTTTATGTTCGGTACGTAATTAACTTATCTATCTCGTTTGCAGTTAATTTTTCTTTATTAAAAAAATTATATTGATTTCTATACAAAAGAAAGACGTTGAAGCAACCATTCAAAAAAATTGATCCGGAAAGAAATTGTATTATATTTTTTTTTATTATTTTTAATATCTTATATAACTTTAATATTTATTTATGTTATTTAACTTTTGATTGTAATGTATTTCTTTTTTTATCATCAAACATTTGTACTACATCTAATTAAAAATTTAATTGTAATAATTGTTTAAAACATTGCAATGCTCAATTTTCCACAGTGTTGTCTACACATGTCAACTTGTCACTATTGTCTCAAGTAAATATGTGGGCTTTTGCAAATAATTAAAATAAAAGAAGAAAAAAAGTGAAACCTTGAAGTAAATTGTCAAGAATGACTGAATTAAGAAAAGAAAATATGTTTCCGGTCTTTTATTGAATTGTAATTTTATTCTCTTCAATTTCTTTCTTCGTTTTTGGTCATCATATATTTTCCCTGTTCAATCTCCGGTGAAGTGATGTTCGCGTACTGATTAATGAACTTGTAATTAGTGCACTTGGAAGGAAAAGGAAGACTAGAATAATCACAATCAACCACGCGATAGATTAGTGATCATTTTTATATATCATTGTTAGTAATCCCCTACTACTTTCTACAGACTTTCATTATTTCCCCTATGGCAATCTCTCATCTATAGGAATTTTCTTTACACGTAAGATACATTTTTCATCCAAAAGCGAGAGTAAACATGTATGTGGTGAAAAACGACTTAATATACAACCCAATAAGAGCCTTACTTATCTGCTTATCGTGAATTTAATATCTTTACATGTAGTTTAAACACCTAATTAATACTTTTTATGAATTAATCC